CCCCCCCCCCCCCCCGCCCTAGGTTTCTGACAAACAGACCTTCCCTTATCTCACACCTTCTCAACTACCAAGTTAACCAACACTGAATATCATCTGGGCTCTTATATCTGATTTAAGTTATAATCATAAGGTAAAAGAACGTTTCAGATAGCTAAATCAAACACTGTTTTATGCCCACAGTTTTAAAGGGCTTCTTGCCCGTCAGTGTTACAGAGAAGGCTCAATCCTGTTTGCACTGCTGTAGCACACACAGCAAATGATTATTTTGCACATTTGTTCTGGGGAAGTGTTAGAACGGCACTGTTAGTCTGTGAGCTAGTCTGTGGGCTCTTTAAATTCCAGTATCAATCCTTAAAATGGATTTAGCATCTTTTGCATCAAACATTAATAAGGCTCACTTAGGCACTCTTAATGTGAAGGAAAATTGGGCTTGTATGAAATGGCTACACTGCAACATTTCATGCTTTTGCAAGTGCAGGAGTATGATTATTTCCTACAGTATGTCATTATCTTCTGCCCTGTGGTTCTTTTTTAAATTATCTCTTCTCACTCAAGCTGCCTACACTATGTTTTTAAAGCTATATAGTTTTCAATTTATGAATTGCATGCATGCAAATTTTGAGCAACTATACCACAAGCCAAGTAATAGATCATATTAAAGTATAACCCCCTCAGACACTACTAATAGAACTACAATCCCAAAAAGCTTGTAAGAAATAAAAAAAAAAATTCCGTATCCAAGTCAAGACATAAACTCAGGTCATTTGTTTCCGAGATAACCAAGAAAATACTATTCTAGAGACACGTGGAATCTCCTTACACTTCTCCTGAGCAGGTTTATTTAAGCATGGCAGGAGATGTCATTTCATATCCTCACAAAGCAAATTAGTTTGCTGCCTACTTGTCCTTGTACCCAAAAAGCTCCCCCTCCCCCTTCCAGGGTCACTCCTAAAACAATTGCGCATCTGTAACTCTAGCTGTCAACCCACCAGGGAAAGGAGTCTTCCCCTTGGGTCTACAACTATCATCTTCCGTTTCTTAGGAAGAAGCAACTCTCTCAGACAATAAAGCAGTTTAAATAGCACATAACAGATTAACACACAACACAGCCAGCACACTGCATAGCTGCTCCAAGGATCAATATCGCTGCTGCTGATTAGTAGTCTAGTTGTGGTCTACAACATATATGGGTATCTAAAATTACTCTACTGACCTTTGTACAGAAAATATTATTTCAGAGACAGAGAAATATTATCGCACTACAGTATTTTGCATCGAGTTTACAAGGTAATAAACACAGAGCTCCTTCTTTACCCACAAATGGCTATTAAATAAGGAAACTAAGACTTGACATCCCCTGGACAATCAAAAGAAATGATTTATTTGGATGCTAACATCTGCCTCGAGATTGTGGCCAAGTGCTTTTCTGTGCTCATTTAGGACTCCACTTGGAAAGCTTTTCAGTTACATTTACCTAGAGATTTCTCTCTACCACTTCCCATCTGACAGAAATCACTCAGCTGGGTCTGATGAATAATAGCAAAAGGCAGCTTGTATCAGAGATGATTGAATTACAGATTGTTGAAAGTGCCATAAAAGCTCATTCCAATGACTACATTTAATTTACTTACTATACTGACTACCAGAAGCCGGTAGTCATTTGATATCTTTATTTCAGAAGACTGGAAACAAAAGAAATATTAGGATTCTTCGCCACTTTCTTGCTACTCTACCTAGTAGAGTTTGATGGGTGAAATTAACTTTTAAACAGAGCGCTGATCCCCTGTCCATATCGCGTGCACACATGAAACAGACCGTAACACACCCGAAATCAACGCAAGGCAAGCGGTATTAAATAATATGAAGGAAATAACGTCCGAGGACACAAAATGAAATTGCATGGAAAGAAAACGCATTAGCTTGACGGCCCTTCTAAGTAATGGAGGAAAAGCTCTTTGCAAACGGATACACGAATTATCCGATGCTGCCCTGCGGGCAGGAGAAGTCAAGGCTCGGGGGTGGGTGCCGGGGGAGCCCCGGCGGCGTGTCCCCTCCGCTCCCCGCCGGGACAGAGCACCCTGACGCGGGCGGGGGCACGGTGCGGGCAGCAGCCAGGTGAAACAAGTTGGCCCGGCGGCCGCCTCGGCGCCGGCTGCGGGCAGGGAGCGATGGATGGAGGGATGGATGGACGGACGGATGGATGGAAAGCAGGCAGGCGGACGGCGCCCCTCTCCCGCAACCGGGGCGGGGGGCGACGGCAAAGCTCCGCGGCAGCGAAGGGGGGCGCCCCCTTTGTCTCAGCCACCCACCTCCCACCCCCCCCCG